TATCTTTTTACAAACTTGTAGAATCCTCCGGGTCATTAAAAAAATTAACATTTACGAACTTTATAAATTTTGTTATCAACGGACAACTTCGGTAAATATTTAACTTGCGATTAAGTGGTCATTTAAAGTTTTTAAATTTGTAAATGTCAAGGAAATTTCAACAGTCGTTTAATATTATTTAAAAAAAAATACTATTTTAGTTTTTATAAAAAATAAATAAAAATGTAAATATTTTTTTTTACTAACAATAATAATGACAACCGAGAGTTGAACTGATTTTTTCCCCGTTTTATTATTCAATTAAATTCAAGTCCACTTTACTAATTAATTTAAAAACTTTTTTATCCAATTACTTCGTTTAAATTGACAAATTTTTTAAACTCAATAATAAATTACACACCCTCAATTGTTAAATAAACAATAATAAAAAATTTATAAGAATGATTTTCATCCGCGAACAAACGAAATAAGTAAATTGTCTTATCTAAAATATTATATATGCTACGTTGTGTCGACTCGAGGCTATTAATGTCATAAAAGTCGATATAAAAATTTAATCTGCAAATGCATCGTTACAAAAAATCTCGATGTCGATGTTTATGGTCTGGAGCTTCAATTTTTAATCTTAAAAAGTGTAATTTTCACTTGAAGAGCTTTTTCATGTAATTTAATATTTAAAAAATGTTTTTCTTCCATGTTATCCTTACTAGTTTTATTATTTATCATTTTACTGCTCTGACAGAAGATAAAATAAAAATTCATCCCCATAAACTCGGAAAAATTTATTTATATTCCTTGACAGCGCATGGATTAATATGTATAAATAAAAAAATTTAATTTTTAATGAAAAAAAATTTAATCTACGGGTGAAAATTATTAGAATTATTTAGTGTATACATTTAGAAATTTAATTTTCAGAAGAAAAAGTCTTGTTTTACCATATATCTTATTTTTTAGCCAGAATTTAAATTGACGAGAAAAATTTTTCTTGTCGTAATCAAATGAACAAAATTGCTTCTAAAACTTTGGAATTAAAATTCTGGATAAAATATTAAAGATACAAAAAAGTTATAAGATCTTTTCATAAAAAATTTAATTTCCTCCAAAAAAAAATCCTTATCACTTTATCAATATCTACTATGAATTTTTCTACAAAATTTTGATGAGAATGATTTCCGAATAAAATTTCCTCCTCTACACTGAGAAAAAAAAAGTAAGAAAATTTTCTTGTCACAAGAATATATATTCTCGATAATTTTCAAAAATATATTTTCTTGTCTCAAGAATTGATCGAATTATTTTTTATTTAATTCAAGTGAGCCTATTCGTTTGTTAATTCATCAAAATGAATGCCAATATTTTATTATCATGATAGATATTGATATTCTTTTGACAAAAAACCAAAATTTATTTATTTATTTATTTATTCAAAAAAAAAAAACAAACCCAACAGCCTAAGCCATTAGCAGGGTTAATAGATACATTAGTTATAAATTTTTATATAATTAAAATAAAATTAATATAAAAAATTATTAATTAAATTCTTAGTTAAACGATTCTTGAGCCAAGAAATTTTTTTCTGGACAAAAATTTTTTTTTCTCAGTGTTAAAAAAGAAAAAAAAAATAAACAGCAATATCGACAATATTTTCCATCATTAAAAAAATGTTTATTTTCCTTCCGTCTACATTTCGAATTTAATACCCGAGAACTCGTTGGGTTGTCTGGAAACAGCAAACACACCCCGAAAGCAAAGCTATCAATCCATTTCTATTCGTTCTATTCGCCCTATCAGTAATATAAGCAAACCATTGATATGAGTGAGTAGGCTGCACGTAGCACCGGTGCCCTGAACCGCGAGATTTGTTTTGGACAGGCGTCTGCGCCGGAATGCTGAGTTGAGTAAAGGACCAGAAGGCGGATCTATTGCTCATCGTGGGCACCATGGGCTGTGAGCCAGTCGTCCCCGAAGCTTCGTGTCGTCGAGATGCGAACACCTCGACACCCGCCACCCGCCACCCCTGTTCGCACGTTTATTCTCATTGACAATTACTTCGTCTAAAAAATACAACGACACTTTTAACACCACCAACAAAAATACAATACCGTAAACATTTTTACAATTCACAAGATTTAAAAATCAGCGCAAAAAAAATTTACAATTTTTATTGCATCGAAATAAATTAATTTTTTAATCATTAATCCAAATATATATAACGAATTTGCTCTACAGAATTGTCTTCCTCGTAGTTTTATACCTGACTGACTTGTTTTTGACATTACCATAAATTTTATCTATCTATTTGACATTTTATCGTATAAAATTTAGTTTTTAAAATCAATGTGACTTATTTTTGAGAAAACCCGCGCAAATATATGATTATTATAATCATTGTGATCACGTATGTTCGATGACGACGCGCGCAGTAACACGTGAGCACGTTATCAAGTTTAAGATCAAAGAATTTAACAACAAATAGATGTCAATAAATTTTTCTAAGTGCGAATTTAAATAAAATCAAAAAATCTAGAGGTGTTTATGGCAAACTCAAGAAAGAGCTTTTTTAATCTGAGGAAAGGACCCCGACATCGAGCACAAGGTATCTCGGAAAATTCATGTGAAATCGGGTATTTATTTTGAGTTTTTACTGGAAAAATTTTGAATAGTAAATTTAGAGGGTAAATATATGAATTTTTTATCGATGAAGGGTTGAGGGTTGTAAATAAATAAATAAATAAATAGAGGTAGAGACGTGAAGGATTCAAGGATCAGAATCACCTGTGGGCATCTTGCCTAGAATCGTGACGAGTGCGCCATCTTGTGTCGCGGGTTTATTTTCTGGATTGTATTGCTTCGTAAATAGCGCAGCTCGTAAGTTAAGTTGAATCTTGTTGTATTTTATTACAAATTTAATATAAAGAGAGCTAAGTAAAAGAAACTTGATGCGATATTTATTTCAAAGGAAACGAGGGTCATTTATTGTAGAGGTGTCAAATAGATATATTTTTGAATTTAATATATATATTTAATGATGAAAATAGTTTTGTACGTGTTGTCAATGTGTGTATTCGATTAGAGTAATTAACATATACGTGTAATTTTAATTTGTGAGCCGTGAAAAAATAACGGACGATGCTTATGGTAGAAGGCTTTAAATAATTAACGAAATAAATAGTGTATAGAGTGATAAATTATCGAGTAATTGACAGTTTTATTTTTGAATCTCCATTTATGGAAATTAAATACATTCAACGCTGAGGAAAATTTTATGGTAATTATTATTGTAATTAAATGACATGCTGTGCGTCGAGTAATTATTATAATTATGAATTCATGATTTATATTTTCCATGTTTCAAATAATAGTAATGATTAATTTTATTTCGGAATTAAAAAACAGATATAAAAAAAACATGAGCGCGCTTATTCTCTGAGGTGTATTTTATCGATACAAATTTGGGGTTTTTTTTTAAATATAAAATAAAATTTTTATGATTATTATTGTCGTTATAAAGCCATGTAACTAGGAGACGCATCGATGTTGTTGTTGATAGTCGTGTTTATTTTTATATCAGCTTGTTAGTTGCTATTTGGCATTATTGTTTACTTTTAATGATTGCGTTAATAAAAAAATTTTTTTCATAGAATAAAAGGGTTGATTTTTTTTGTTTTATTAAAAAAATAAAAGAACAATTATTAAAAAATAATTTCGTTGGGAAAAGTTGAAAAAAATTATTTTTTGCGTTTTGAGATGATAAATTTTCAGAATAAATGAAATTTTGATCAATTAATAAGTAAAAAACATTTTTTCTTTAGAAATTTTACGTGTTAAACATTACGGGTGTCATATGGCATTCAAATATTTCCAACGCTAAAATATTATAAACTCATTAATGTAAGAAATAATTTTCTTGATTCAGAAGAAATGAATCTTCCTACAAAAATTTAATGTCTTGGCTATGATAATCATGCAAGAGCGCCACGCTCGGGCTAGAGACAAAGTAATTTGTAACCAATTTGTAATAATTTGTAACAAATTTGTAACCAATATCTTTGATCCCACGTGTTATATAAGACTCTTAAGGGTGGGCAGTAGAAAATATTGTTTTCAAAAATTAATTAGTTTTTTAATTACGCCTTAGATCAATTTTAAAATTAAAGAAAATAAAGTTTCCGAGAAAAAGCATAGGACTAACTATTGCGAAAGCTTTATAAAAGGTTATATAACAAATACGGCTTATCTTTAACCTTGTAGTTAGTTTGTTTTGCAATCAAGAAAATTAACCATTTTCTAATCAGATTTATTGAAGAAAATTTTTTTAAAATGGAGAAAAATATTTAACTAATAAAAAAAAAATTTTACTTGATTTGAGAAACCTTCCACGCGTTCAATGCAGTCAAAATTACTGTACAATATATCACGTTAGGATCGTGTCATAAATAACTGAACTTGAATTTCCATAAAATATTTCCATTCTCCGCAATAAATATTTTTTTTTAAATTTAAATTTATTATTATTATTATTTAAATTTTTTAAATTTATCCACTTGAGGTTTCTTCAATTGATTTATTTGACTAATTATATCCAGATGATCATGAATTTTCTAAAAATTAAATTTTGTTCCTTCGTCTCAACCAAAATCAATTCATAATTAAAAATTAACTTTTTTCCGACGAGTTGATTAAAATTTATATAAATTATGACTGATTAATGACCTCGATGAAAGGACAGGAAAATCGTTACATTTTTTTCATCTCTCTTTGAAATGATTCAATAACGACTTTTTGATGACCTAGCTTCGGTACGAACCCACTTGCGCGTAGAAATTTTTTCCATTAACTTGATATATCATGTTCAAGGATCATCAACCAGACGTTTGATGAAATCTATACTGATCAATTGTTGATAATTTTACTGAAGTCTTTATAAATAAAAAATCGCAATATTTATTTTTTTAATTATTAATAATTTATTAATATAAATAACCATTTTTTCATCATTAGTCATCATATTCTGAGTAATAAAAATGGTTTTTTGTCATTTTGAAACATGAGTACGATTCATTCCTAAAAAAAATTTTTTTATCAATTTTTTAATTACTTATTACTAATTAAAAATAAAAATAATTACTTGGCGATTTTTTGAAAGCTTTTTCTTGAACATTCAGACCAATGAGGTAATTTTAAAGAGTTTTTATAAACAGTTGAAGTACTCATTATAAAATCTGTATTACACCCTAAAAATTCATCATTTTCGACGCCGAATCTAAAAAAAATATTTTTTTTTAAATATTAGTTTAAATTTGCTCTCTTAAAAAAAAAATATAAAACAATTTTTATCTTCAGTATATATTATAAATTTTAATAACTATCTTTATACAAATGTAATGTTATCTTACCCTTGAGCTATTAATCGCGCTGCAGCCATCTCAGAGAATCCAGTATCTAAGACAACTGCGACATTTATTCCGTCATCAAAAGAAGAATGTTTACAATCAAATAAATTTATTGAGCCCGTGAGGTTATTGTAATTACTATCTACCAGTGGAAATCTAAGGGAATAATTGCAATAAAAATATATAATTAAAGTAAAAATAAATATATAAAAAAATACTCACGACGTTTGGAAAATAAAAACATCTATATCAGTATCAGGAAGACCTTCAAATCGGTCGTAATTTTCCTTCCACCACTCTTCCATCCTATCAACCGTAGCCATCGGGTAATATTTTCGGGGATTATCCTCATTATTTTCGATCACTAAATCAAATACGTCTGGTTCCTACAAAAATAAATCATCTATCATTTGTATCAACTATAAAAGTTTTTAAATAAACGAGATTATAAACAAAATATCTTACTGTTGGTATAGCGATCCCTCGAAGGATTATCTTTATTTTCGGATTATCTAGTTCTTCCATTATTTTATTCACGTTATTCCAGTATGATAATACGTGATTTATTATATTTTCACCGTGAGTTTTGTACAAATTATAGTCTACTGTCACTAGTATTGACAAAACCAATGCGTCTGTAATGAAAATAAAATAAAATAAATAATTGTTAATATTTAAAAGAAAAAAAAATTTTTTTTCTTTACCTGGTAACAATTTTGCTTTGTTATAAAAATCATAGGATGACGAAATTTCAAGAACCTAAAAATTAAAATCATTCAATTTCTTTGAATTTGCATTTTATCGATCTTTTTTATACCGAAAAAAAAATTCTTGAGCTTTAGAATAAATTATTTTGACTAATTACCCTTAAAAGCATTCGAGGTTTCACATTTTTATCTGGATAATGTATCAAATAAACTGGAGTCACTGGACGAATTATAACTCCGTGTTCTGCTTCATTTTCATCGTAAGGAGAACATGTACTTAGACTTTTAATTACGTCTAAAAAATTCTGAAAAAAAGCATATGTAATTTATAGAAAATTTTTAAATTCATAAAATGCATAAATCACTGAACTATTAATAATAATATTAATTATAATTTAATTGATTCGTTACACAACCTATTATCGTTTGTAATATAATTTTGACGTTTAAGGGTAGTTAAGATTAGAGGATTTAATTAATACTTCAAAGGATCAATTATTAGTTCAATTGTGAACAAGGCTTATAATTGTTTGTTCAAATACCCGGAATCGTAGGTCATAATTAATAATTTACAAAATATAAATTTATGTAAAAAATCTTACCGTTGAAAAAGATGTGACAAAAGAGGCGCTTAAAAATGTTATTAAAAATAACAAAAACTTCATTATTTATTTACAAATTCTATTTTTAAATATTTAAACATATAAATTGAATTTTAGGTTAGATTTTATTTATCTTTCTATATTATTAACGACACCAGCTAATGGCCCGCACGATGTCATTATCGAACGATAAAGATTATGATTAACGTCAGTAGATTGATACATTAGTGTTATCAGAAATAAAATATCGGAGTTCTAAATTTATTTTTTCTTACTTAAATAAAGTTGATAATTTTTTTTTTTCATTTCAAATTTAAAAAATAAATTTTTAATTTTTTTTTTAATTAATTGTCAAGAAAATATCTGCAGCATTAATTATTAATAAAAGAAAAAGGAAGCTTGTAGATTTTAATTTACCTCAGTGGTTATTTTTAAAAAAATTTAATATTTCCACAGTATTAAAATTTGTTGATCGACTGACACCTTGTCGACTTTACAAGCATCAAAGTGTCAATAAATCGACGAGTCACTTACCCCTAAAGTAAATAAACCTAAAAAGTCACCGGTGTCAATTTTCGTCGGCCATACTTTATCTGGGATTGTTTTTGTCAATAAAACAAGAAATATGTCCCTCTACCTTCGAGATTAGTAATTTATTTGAAAACAAAAGGGGGAAAAAGTAATCAGAGAACCGCAGGAATAAATCGAAATTACGAATTCCGGATTCAAGTTCTTTTGATAATTTTAAATCTCCACATTAACATTAAAAAAACCTGCTTTTTTAAATATAAATAATTTATTATTAATTTAATTACCGAGCCAGTTTATCGTAATAATAAAACTCAATATGACTCTGATCAGTCTGATCATGTGTTTGATAAAAGTGAATAAACAACCGCACGAACACATTCGCGTTTTGATTTATTCAATTCAACAGGTGAATTTCCTCGCCGACATTTAATTCATTATTATCATCATCATTATGGCAATTAACGCAAATTTTCTTTAAACAATAAATAATATTTTTCTTTCTTTTCCCAAAATTTGAATTAAAAGTAAAAAAAAATAGAACTTATTTATAGTTTTTAAAAGTATGAAATTATTTTTATTTATTCAGAAAATAAATAGTAAAAAAAAAACTTTTCAACAAACAACCAAATAAATTAAACATTACTCTTAATGTAAGTCTGATAAAAAATTACTAGAGAACGTATCAAAGGTGCCATCTAATTTAATTAGGTCTGACCTGTTTTACTTTCACCCTCGTCTTAAAAAAGAATGAAGCTCCTGTTTCACTAGGAATAAAAAAGTAAAAAAAATTCAAAAGGTTACTCTTGAATTCTTTTACTCTCGCTACTAATGAATATCTCGTAATATAACACGAGTCCGCATTACTAAAAATCTTGTATGCTCCCATTGGCTTGAATAAATTATTGTAATGAAAGGAGTAATGACGGGCGAGGTTAAAGAGCAATAGAACAAACAAAAGTGACTAACGAAGCTGCTCTGGGGTCTAATCTCGATCTATGGCCTTGTATTATAAGTCCTTGTGATTATTACTATACATCTTCAATTGAGACAACTGCGAAGCTCTGACGTGACGATTTTCTTAGATTAAATGTCACTGATAATCAAAAGCTACTGATTTGTTAAAAATAACCGGTTCTAATTTTTCTTACCGGGTATTTTTGTTACTTTCTTGAGTTTTCGCGCGATGATGGTCGAAGAGGAGAAGGAGAATTTAGCCGATGGGATATAAAAGTAAATCGAGGACAATAGTCTTCCGGACAAGTATCTATTATCGATGTCATCATCGTGATGCTTCTATAATGAAGGAGGAAATTGAGAGATATCATCTTGCGGCTTGAAATCTTTGAAGCCTGTCTCCTGACAATATTATCAATCGATGGTGTTTGATATTTTTTTCTGAGATTAATATTTTATATTTAGCGTCAAGTGCAAACTCTATTTTTTCATAATAATTTTTAATTATAATAATAATATTTATAAAGAGAAATAATTTTTTGAAATTATCAATTTTTTTAATTTTTATAATAATTTTTTTCTAACAAAAATTTGATTGGAATTTTTTTTTTAAAGGCAACAATTACTTATTTTTAAATTGATGTTTAGAAAATTATTATTATTATTAAATAAATAATTAAATAGATCGGGTTAGCTTAATAAAATAATAGAAAGAAAATTTTTATTTTCAATTTTACAAATTAATTTTTTTTATTCTCGGGAAGAAAAAAATTTTTTTTTACACATACAGAAAAAACAGACAAAAATAAAAAAATGTTCTTGCTTTCAATTACGTAATCAAGTAACTTTTCTTTGTTTTTTTCGTTTTTTTTTTTTTTTCTGTCAAAGATTCTACGAAAGGGAATCGGTAAACAGGTTGCATACTAAATAAACCAGTACGTGAGTGTGTCCGAAGTTTCTTGAGCGTTTTCGTCCTTTCTTTACTAAATTTCATCTCTAACTTCCTCCTTTCCAATTGACCTTATTTCTCTTGAATTAATATATAATCCTCCCTACTATCATTATTATTATTATTATAATTGTAAATTAATTAGTGAGATACTAATCTCAATAAAAAGTTTCATAATAGAAATTTAATTCCGCAAATCCTTTAGGGGAACCTTGGATTAATCTAGATAGCCGTAGTGATAAAGCGTCAATTAAACAATTGTTCTCAAATTAAATGTAAATTTTATAATTTATTCATTTATCAAGTTTAATAGTTTTATAAATTAATATTTCATTGCAAAATAAAAAATATCTTCGAGGCAAAACTTCGCTCTGATTAAATTTAATTAAAAGTAAATAAGTGAAGACGAATAAAGGATTGATTTTTTAAAAATATTTCAGAATAATAACACTAAAAGAACAATTTTTTACTCAATCATGACCTAGAAAGTCTTTTATTAAAATGTTTTAAAGCTCAATGATTACTTAAACTTTGCATTTATCGCGTTCAATATTTTTCTAAAAATAAATTTAATTATTATTGGAAAAAAATATTAATTTATAAATTTATCCGTCAGCTTTCAAAGTCAATTATTTTATTTATTGTTTATGACGAGGTTAAGATTAATTTAAGCCTGTAACATTGATCCCTCCGTACAAGTTAGTTAAAGTTTTCATTTACAAGTTCAAACTTTATGACCTTGTAATAATATCCATTTTAATCACTTATCGAGAGTAAAATTCAATTTTCTCATAAAGTCACTCGAAGTTGATCTTCAAAAAAAATAACAATAATTATTTAAACAAAAAAAAAAATCCCATGAATAAAAATTTCCTTAATTTATTCTCAAGTGTTTTTTTTACAAACATTTAATTTCTTTTCCCCGGTCATGAATATGTTGACCTTTCAGAACTTTTAGCCATAAAATCTGTCGGTGAAAACGTCAGTCAGTAACAAAACTAATTTCCTTCGCTAAAATAAACTCGACACCCATTGATTCGGTGGTTGGTAAATAATTAAATTAATTCAAAAGAAAAATGTATGTTCTTTGATAAAAATCGAACAGTGTGTGACCTTTGTCATAAAGCAACATATGACCTGGCGGAAAATAATTAAAGAATGTGTTGAATTAAAAATTAATTAAATTAATAATTATTGAGTGAAGCAAAGTAAAATATATGATACGAAATGTTGAATAGAGTTTGAGTATTTCTAGACTAATTATCAATTAGAATACTCGAGGGTCTGTTTCAATTACTGGATGCTATCAGAAACTACTTCGAGTGACTTCAGTGTCTGTAGAGAGTTACTGATAACGAATTTGTAGCTGAAATGTAGTTGATCGGAAATCGATTGTGAACGTAACCGAAAAAGGACTGCACTTTCATCTAAAATTGGATATTGGCATTTTCCATGTTCTTTATAATAGTGACTAGAATTTAATTCACGCGCGCAAGCGCGCGCCTCATATTTATTGTCATGATATATTTATGTGTCGTTTATGTATATTATATTCACTTTCAACCAATCAGAATGAGAATATTTATTTTCAACCAATCACATCACGAATAAATTGGTTTCACATACATTTCATCTCAATTTTATTATGGGATAGATCAAAATGAAAAAAAAAAAAAAAACGTCATACATGAAACATGAAACATGAGTATATACCAACACACACATTCAATTTATGACAAGAGCTATTTTCTGTACATCATTTATTTTTCATAGGTAAAATCAGGAACCAAGGGAATAAATAACAGTGAAAAATAAAAATAGTTTTCTTTTATTTTGGTAAATGGGTTGAGATTCTTCTAAAGTCCGCGAGTCAATAATGTGTGGAATCCAGTGAATATATCTTTCTGCTCTTCGCTGGCATATTTCATCAATTTCGTGTCAAATTTATTGACAAACGTATCATCGATTTTGACAGACTTATTGCCGTTTTTAACTTTTGGTGCTTTGTTTACTTCACTGGATTCTAAAATCTGAACCTTTTTTTTTATTTATTTAATAACTTCGGTCTCATTTTTCACGTCCTTTTTTATTTAAATTTTATTACCAAAGATTTATCCCCGTCTTTGTTTTATTTATTTTGATCGAAATTCAATAACGCCATTTTTTTCTCCCTTGTTAGAGGACCCCGCATGGAAAAATATATATGCAAATATATATTTTCACATATATTTTTTTTGCGCTAAATATATGTCCACATATATGCGTGCATATATGTTCACATATATGTGCGCATATAAATGTCTAGAGATTCACAGAAAAAAATTTAACTTGAATCAAGAAAATAATTTTGAAAAATTATTGATTTGAGTAAAAAAATTCTCAAACTTAGAAATTTTTTTTTCAGTGTATGATTACATATATGTCGACATATATGTCTATATATTTATAAGCATGTATTTCTGCATATATGTCAGCATCTATGTGAAAAATATATGTTGACATATTTTTTTTTTGCGTAAATATATGCGGCATATATATTATATATGCGACATATATTTTTGACATATATATTTCTCCATGCGGGACCGCCGGAAAAAGATGTCAGTCATAAAGAGATATATGATTTTAG